GTACCACCTCATACCCATCAGATTGGCTGAGATGGCAGAAAAAGAAAATAAATGCTGGAGGGGATGTGAGAAAATAGGTACACTAATGCACTGTTGGTAGAACTGGGAACTAGTCCAACCATTTTTAAAAGCAGTTTGGAACTTCCCATTAAGCTATAAAACTGCATACTTTGACAGCAATACCAGTACTGGGTCTACACACCAAAGAGATGAAAGAAAAAGGAAAAAAGACCCATGTGTATGAAAATATTTATAGCAGCTCTTTTTGGGATAGCAAAGAATTAGAAAATGAGGGGATACCCATCACTTGGGTAACAAGTTATGGTTTATGAATTGTGCTGTAAGAAGTGATGAAAGGGATGGTTTCAGAAAAATCTGGAAAGGCTTAGATGAACTGATACCAAGTGAAGTGAACTGAACCAGGAAAACAATGTACACAGTAACAGCAATATTGTAAAGCTAATCAACTCTGAAAGACCTAGTAAACTGCTCAATACAGTGATCTACCACAACCTGGAAGGACTCATGGTAAAAAATGCTATACACCTCCACATAGAGAATTATGGGATCAGGATACAGATCAAAGCATATTTCTCTCTCTCCTTTCTCTCTCTCTCTCTTTCTCTCTCTCTCTCTCTCTCCCTCTCTCCCTCTCCCCCCCCCTCCTCCTCTCCCTCTCTCTCTCCCTCTCTCTCTGCCCCCTCCCCTCTCGGAACATGGCTAACGGGGAGATATGTTTTATATGACTTCATATGTATATTGAGTATTCCATTTCTTGTTTTGTCAATGGGCAGGGGAGGGAGTGGAGGAAGGGAGAGAATTTGGAATCAAACTTTTTAAAAAAAGAAACTAATCGAGGTGATTAATAGCTTCAGCAAGGTAGGAAATAAATCTTAAATCAGCATTTCTGTACAATTCTCAAAGTCTAGTCTGGGTAGATTGGTATCCCGGAACTCCCTTTCAGAAGATGAAAAGGAAGAAACAAGCATTTATTAAGTTCTTACTATGTGCCAGGTATTGTTCTAAGCACTTTACAAATATTCTCTCATTTTATCCTCACCATAACCCTGCAAGGTAGGTGCTATTATTATCCCTATTTTACATTTGAGGAAGCTGAGGCAGACAGGTTAACTGATTTGCTCAGGGTCACACACCTAGGAAGTATCTGAGGCTGGATTTGAACTCAAATCTTCCTCACTCCAGGCCCTGCACTCTAACTACTATGCAGGCCATCTAGATGCCTACGGGTGTTACAAATCCTTGGGTCCATGAGGCAAAACTATTTTCGTCATAATTCTAAGACATTTTAATTTCTAGCATGGTAAATATTGATAGATGCAACCCACATAAACAAAACTCTTTGGATGATCCTCAATCATTTTTAAGAGTATAGAGGAGTCCTGAGGCCACAAAAGTCTGAGAATCACCATTGTACAGTGCTAAGAAAAACCCAGGAGAATCTATACTAGGAAACATTCCATTCAAAATCACTACAAAGTATATACATAGTTCCCAGTTAAACCACAACATTACACGTTATATATAACTACAGCTACAAAACACTCTCTAGAAATAGAGGCTTATGTAATCTCCAATGACTTCCCCTCTCCATCAGTTTGTGCAAGTCTTTGCATGTTTCTCTGAATTCCTCCTGCCTCTTTAGTTGTGCTGCAATGATCTACCACTGTTTGGCCATTTCCCAGTCACTGAGCACCCACTTGGTTTCCAGTTTTTTCTACCACAGAACAGTGTTGCTACTAATATTTTGTTATATGTAGACGTCTCTTTCGACTCCTTGAGGTATATGCCCAGTGATGAGATTACAGGATCAAAGGCTATGAACAATTTAGTAACTTTTCTTCTGTAATTCCAAATTGTATCAGTGTGCCTGTCTTCTATAATCCTTCCAACACTATTATTATCTTTTATCATCTTTGCCAGCTCTATGAGTATGAGGCAAAACCTACAAGTTTTCATTTACTTTCTGTTGTCTAATGAAAATCACTTGAAAGATTTCACTCTTGTAAGTTGCTTTACGTCCATGTTTGCTGGAATACTTACCTTCTGTTTAGGAGATGCTAGTTGTAGAGGTATTTAAACAGATTGAATAAAGAAGAAAATGCAGCATAAAAATGGCCCTTTAAATGGGCAAAATACACTTCAGCCAATGAGATTATGGCTTTACAGTCATTCTTTTAATATCTTCGGGGTACCAGTATGCAGCCTCTCATTCATATGTTAATGATCTTTCTTTCACTGCCTTTCTTCCTCTGAAGTCTTTGCAATGTGTTGTAACCTACCTAAACTTGTGCCTGTGATGTTTCTTTCCTTTTACCCCTTTGAGTTCATTGTAATTTTGTTTCAAGAACATTGTAGTCCCTGATTTGTAGTTATATAGCTTGAGTGGAAGAATATTAATGTTAGATGGACTTTTACAGGCAATGACCAATTTAAGATCATAGAAAACACCATGTGATTTCTTGTTGTGGAGTTCTAGGCCCTTAGGCTCTTTGTCTATCTGAAACACCTTTTCAGAATATGCATTTAAGGGCTTCTTAGTCCTCCTTTTTTTTTTGACCTCTTTGCAACTTTTGTCTTTCTTACCCTTTCCCTTGCTCCCTTCTCCCTTGGCTTCCTTCTATGATTCAGCTCTCTCCTAGTTCTCCTACCTGTCTGTTTTTGTTTTTTGTTTTGTTTTGTTTTGTTTTTCAGTCAGTCACAAAGGGCCTATTGGACATCTCCATCTGGATGTATCTCAAACCTAACATGTCCAAAACCCCATGCCATTCCTCCAGGCTTAGCCATTTCTGATGAGGATACCACAATACTCCTAGTCATCCAGATTCCCAACCTCAGTTATCCATGGAGTATTTGTCCCGTAGAGAAATGGCAATGGATTGTTAGCTCCACTTTAGTCTTTGTAGCCCTAGCACCTAACATGCAGCCTGGCACAGAAAAAAGGTTTGATTCATTATCCCCCATGCTAGTTGCCAAGTCTTGCCAATTCTGTCCTCACGACATTGTCTCCACTTACACAGCCTATGCCCTGCCTCTTGCTTAGACTGTTGTCCTTTTAAAATACTTTCTAATTACCTCCTGAGTGGTCTTCCTGCATCCATTCTCTTATTCTCCAGTCCACCTTCTAGGTGCTGCCACAGACCTAACCACGTTGGTTTCCTTCTTAGAAATCTCTGACTCTCTATTCCTTTTAGGGTTAAAAACAAAAGCCTCAGCTTGGCTTTCAGAGCCCTCCACTGAAGGACTCCCAGCAACTTTTCCAGCCTTGTTTCATATTACTCTCCAAAGTGGCCTCTTGGCTTTTCCTAATACACTACGTTACATTTCCCATCTCTTTGTTTTTGACCGAGCTACCCCTTAAGTCTGGAATGCATTCCTTCCTCATTTCCATCTTTTTGAACCCCTGGCTTCCTTCAAAGGCCAGCTCTGGTGATCCTGAGTCCCTTCCTCCCCCCACCCCCACCCTTTAGTGGTCTCTTTTTCTTAGAACTCTTTGATGTGACATTATGATGGATTATCTATGATTACTTTGTAGTTAGCTCCCTTAGAGCAGGGACCAAATGTTTCCTTTCTATCTTCCTGGCTCCAAGTGTTTAGCACTGTGTGATTTGCCTGTAATTGGTTCTTAACAAATGCTTATTCGATTGTCTTGTTTACTGTTGTGTGTCTTACATAGGCTGGACAATATGCATTTTTTCATTCTTTTTGGTTTTTGACTGTGAAAGGTGAAAACTATCTCTTCTCCTACACCATGATAAAGTTTGGTTTGGATTTGGTTTGGACCCAAGATTTAATTTGTTGTAGGGAAGTGATGTCAAACTCTGGTAGAAACAGATCTCTTTCATTCCATATTGACTTAGAAATCCACAAATTAACATTATCTATGTTGTATTGTATTTTTATTTACCTTGTTAAACATTTCCCAATTGTATCTAAATCGAGTTTGGGCACCCTCGGGTATCCTGGAGTTTGATACTTCTAGTTTAAGGAACTCCTGTTAGAAAACCCCACGTTGGAATGCTGACAGGCATCTAATCTGCATTTTCTAGCCTTATGGGGGAGACTTACCCAGAGTCCCATAGCTAGTGTGAATCGGAGGTGAAGTCTGACTTCCAGGCACACTCTCTAACTACCCTGTGCCAGGCTGCATACACTACCTGTCAGTAAGGAATGAGGCTAAAAAGAAAAAGATCAAGAAAACGAAGTCCAGAGACAAGGAGAGGAGCGAGTCATCTTAGTGGATAGTACATTTAATGTTTTCAGTCTGGTAGTGCTGACTAATTTCATTAGTGTCTCTAAAATCTTTGAAATAAGAAGCTGCTTGCATTAAAATATTTTCATATTATAGTTAGGGCAATCATTCACATAATGGAAGTAAACAAATGAGGAATTGACATTGGAAATTACCTTTTCAATAACTGTATAAGTACTTAAAATATTTCACATAAATACTAGATGTCCCAAACATTTTAGCACAGTTTCAAGTTTTAATAAAGCTTAAGAAACAAGAGCATGTACATCCCAGGATTGTTAAGTTTTAATACCTTAAAACTGTAATAAGACTTTTGGGACCACCTCTAGAAGGAGTTAATAATAAAAATAGCCAATGTTTATATAGCCCCTGGAGGTTTGCAAAGCAGTTTGCTCCCAGATATTATCTATTTGATCCTCGGAACAACCCTGGGATATGGGTGCTTTTGTCATCCCCTTTTTACAGATAAGAAATTCAGGTCTTCCTGATTTCAAGTCTGGTACTCCCCACTATTTGGCCTGGCCTTGTGAAGCCTGGTGGCTTCATTAGAGGAGCGGCGCCCCTCGCTGTGATTCCTTTGAAGGGAAGTACTCATTTGGGCATCCAAGTTCTAGGGCGTTTAAATGTAAAAGCAAAAATAAAAAAGATCCTTAAACAAAATACCAATCTCCTTTCTTTACAGTCACACACCATACATACATACACAGCATTAAAGCATTTACATCCAAACCTTGGTTTTAAGTAGTGGGAATACTCCTTGCTCTCCATTGCCACTTCAGGTTCTCCTCCTACCAGTCACCTCTCCTTCTTTGAACTCCATACAATACATATCATCTACCCAGCAAAATCCTGGTAGTGGTTGTCTACAGACTTCAGATCACTCCCCTTCCTTCCTCAATGGGTTCAGTACCTGGCTCACAGTCTTTCCCCTCTCCTTAACTCCTGCCCTCATAATAGGGGATTTCAACATATATTGACACTCCCTCAAAACACCCACACCACTCAGTTCCTCAACCTACTCACTTCCCATGACCTCTACCCTACCTTAGCCACACATAAAAAGTTATACCATGGATCTTACTATCACTCATAAATGTACCATTAACATGTTCAGAACTCTGAAATTCCCTTATCTGATCAGTCTATTGACTTTCCTCTTCTCCCTCAGCTTGTTTATGCCAAACCCTATTCTTTATCCACACTGTGGCCCTCCAACCCCTCAGTTCTCTCCCAGGCCATCTCCTCCGCACTAGGCTTTCTCCTCTTTTCCCCATCCTGACCACTTGGTGAACCAGACAACTCTACACCATTCTCTCATGCTCTGCCAAGCCTTAGCCTTTGATCGCTCCCACCATCTGCTGCTTTTGTTCCTACACATGCGCACACACGCTGCTGAATGAAGGTGAGGAACAATCACAACCATTCTCTGACTGGGTCCCCTACCAATTTATGGTACAGAACCTCAAATGTGCCCTCGCTGGTGCTAGACAATCCTACTCTGCCTCCTTTATCAACTTACTTTCCCACTCTCCACAGCAGCTCCCATGGCTCTCTCTCACCTGAGAATCTTGCCTCATATTTTACAGATAAAACTGAGGCTATTTGCCACGAGTTCCCTTTTCTCTCCTCTTCTTCATTTCCTGTCACTCAGATTCCTTCTGTCACTCTCTTCCTTCACTCCTTTCTACCATGAAGAGGTGACCTTTCTTCTCTACCTGCTAAAGTGATTCGATTCCATCCTGTCTTCTCCAAGATACTGTCCCCTCTGTCATCTCCACTCGTTCACTTATCTTCAGTCTCTCCCTCTCTACTGGCTCCTTCCTTGTTGCCTGCAAACAGGCCTGCATCTCCCCCATCCTGAAGAAAAAAAAAAACCAAGATATTCGATCCTTCTGTCTCCACTATTGTCCTGTATTTCTTCTGCTTTTTGTGGCTAAATTTCTTGAGAAGGCTGTCCATGATAGGTACCTCTGCTTCCTCTCCTGTCATTCTCTTAACTCCATAGAACTTGGCTTTTACCAATGATTTCCTAATTGCCGTGTCCATGGCCTTTTCTCAGTCCTCATTCTTCTTAACTTCTCTTCAGTCTTTGACACTGTTAATCAGCCTCTCCTTGATACTCTCTTCTCTCTGGATTTTCTGGATACCACTCTCTCCTGGTTCTCCTTCTACCTGTCAGACCATTCTTTCTCAGTCTCCTTTGCTGGATCTTTATCCAGTTCACACCCGCTAACCATAGCTGTCCCATAGGGTTCTGTCCTAGGTCCTCTTCTCTTCTCCCTTTATAACTTGGTGATTTCATCAGCTCTACATGGATTTAATGACCATCTCTGTGCTAATGATTCTCAAATCTACCTGTCCTGCCCTAACCTCTCTGCTGACCTCCAGTCTCCCATCTCCAACTGCCTTTCAGACGTCTCCAACTAGATGTCCAGTAGACATCTTAAAGTAAACATGTCCAAAACTGAACTCATTATCTTTCTCCCTAAACTATCTCTCCTTCCCCCCCCCCCCCATACTTCCCTAGTACTGTCAAGGGCACCACTACCCTCCCAGTCCCCTGGGCTCCCAACCTAGGTGTCCTTCTTACTCCTTGCCATCTCTCACTCTCCCATATCCAATTTGTTGCTTTTATCTCTGCAACATTTCTCCAATACACCTTGTTCTCTCCTCTGATACTATCACCTGGGGGCAAGCTCTCATCACCTTACACCTGGACTATTGCAGTACCCTGCTAGATGATCAGCTTGCCTCAAATCTCTCCCCTTTCACCAATATGTCAGTCTGTCCTCCATTTGGCCACCAAAGTGTTTTCCCTCCCCCCCTACTCAGTAAAATCTATTGGCATCAAATACAAAATTCTCTGTTTGTCATTCAAAGCCCTTTATAACCTCTTCTGCCTTGGCCTTTCCAGTCTTCTTACATCTTACTCCTTACCATGTACTCTTCGACTCAGTGACACCGACCTCCTTGCTATTCCTTGAACAAGACACTCCATCTTTTGACTCTGGGCCTTTTCTCTGGCTATTCCCCTTGCCTGGAATGCTCTCCCTCATCTTCACTTCCTGGATTCCTTTGGGTCTCAGCTAAAATTCTATCTCCTACAGGAAGTCTTTCTCAATCCCTCTTAATTCTTGGGCCGCCTTCTTTTTAATTATTTCCAATTTATCCTGTTTATAGCTTGTTTATACATAGCTGTTTGCATGTTTTCTCCCCTATTAGCCTGTGATCTCTTTGAGATCAGGGACTGTCTTTTGCCTTTCTTTGTATAGTGCCTGGACATAGTAGGCACTTAATAAATGCTTATTGGCCAATTTACTTATGTGACTTCTGAGGCCTCTTCCTATTTTAAGATTTCTACAGACTCAAAATCCTGGGCTATTGGAACTATAGGCTCAGAGAACTGTCCCTGTACTTTGTCCCAGGTATACTGCCCTATACCTTGAGATTATGTTGGTAGGAGAAGCTTCAGCATTGTTCTAAATTAAAATCTTGGTGGCTGTGTTAAAAACTGACATGTTTTCAGTTGTAGACTAGTAACTACTGTTATTAGTGCCACGCTATAACATTTTCATTTGGAGGACCACTTAAAAATCGTTTGGTGCCCAATGAAGTTTTCATTATTTTCCAGTATCCATTAATGAAGTATCATCTAAACTTGCATGTACTACTACTGACAAATCTTATGTGACTCACTGGCTTTCCATTTTTTCTGAAGTGAGTTATTTAAGGATCTTCCTGTCAGTTCATCACATATTTCAAATTGTTCTCAAGAAAGTTAGGAATATAGGAACTAGGTGGGAATCTGTTTTTCTGTGACCAAAGGTGGTTTTTTTGTTTTTGTTTTTGTTTTTTGGTACTGAGAATTCCAGTTGCTATAGTATGGTAGGTTTTTTTTTTCCTTCATCCCATTTAGATTTCTAAAATGACCTGATTTCCCCTCCCCCCTCCCTCCCCTCCCCCCTAAACCAGGGTTTGGAATCATGAGTCATTTTAATTTTGGAGGATCTCCTGCCACCGGAGGTGGTTTCACCTTTGGCCCTGCAAAGACAACTACCACCACACCAGGACCAGGCTTTTCTTTCTCCACACCTGGCTCTGGAGGAGGGTTTAATTTTGGGACTCCCTCCCAGCCTACCGCAAGCACGCCTGCTACTAGTTTGTTCTCCCTGACCACCCCTGCCTCATCTACACAGACTTCAGGCTTCAGCTTTGGATCACAGGCCACACCAACTCCAGGTTCCGCCACTCCGGCGTTTTCCTTAGGGTAAGAGCTATACAGTTTCTGGCTCTCTAAGCGGCTATGGATAGAATCAATCACCTCTCAAGGACAAGCTTTTAGTTTGGAGCAGGGATAAAGGGTCAATCAATTTTATAGGAAGGCGTTTATAAAACTACTATTTGGAATTGTGCCACTCAGTCCCTAAGTACTCTCTTAAATTAAACCTGTCTCTGGATCGAAGCAAATTGAAGGCTGATCTGCAGGCAGAATTCTTTGTGACCCATTGAAGGATAGGAGGAGGGCTCTGAGAGTTTGGAATGTGTCCTTATTGTGGCTCTCTGGAGTGATCTTTATCAATGTAATGACCAAAAATTCTTCCTTCCTATATCTCAGTATTAAAAGCATCCCCCTCCCTCCTTTTTTTAAAAATGTGTTTCTTTGTCAATCCAGTCTGACCCAACCATTCCTTTTAGTGACTGAGAGAACCATTTATTTCCTTTCAATGGCACCTGTGAGGTAACTGAGCAGATACCTTCCTGAATTTTTCTTCCCCCTTCATTTCAGTTATCTAATAGTTTATGGCTAAAGAATGCCAGGATAGCACTTCTTTGGGAAGGCAAGTTGAGCAGCACAGCATTTATTATCGAGGTTTATGAAATGCATTAAAATTTTTTGGACCTGTACCCGAGAAAAATTAATAGGATGCCTGTCATTTGGCCTTGCCACTCACGCTCAAAAATACCAACTTATCTTAAGAAAATAGTCTGTCCAAAGACATAGCATTTCTACCCACCCTAAAGAAAATCCTAGGAGTCACTCCTCTCCTGAATCCTAGTTTAGAGTGATCTTTCTCCTTTATGCAGAGCAGACCAAGATCTTGCATACCTGTGAATGAGCAACTAGCTCATTATAGTCTTAAAATATACTAAGATCTGCCTCTGTTTCTGTGTATTAAGCTGAAAAACAATCTAGTACAATTGTACCGAGTTATAACTTAATTTGGTGTGGGCTCTAAGAACTGCCCTTTAGTAACTGGCAGGGCTTCTATGTTGCTTTTTTAGTCATAGTTCTGACGCATTTCCTTTCTCCGTTTAGGTTAAGTACACCAAAGTTAAATTTGAGCAGCAGTGGCACCCCACTCTCTTCAGGTATCACAGGGGGCTTTGGGCTTGGCAACAGCACACTTACTAATTCCATAGCCAGCAATGTGTCAAGCCAGGCCTCAACACCTACTGGCTTTATTTTTGGCCCTCCTACTACCACCGCCACCCAACCTACATCATCTATAGGATTCTCCTTCCCCAGTGGAAATGCTTCCCAGACGGGGACCACTGGTTTTAACCTCGGCTCAATGGGGAATGCAAGTCAACCAGCAGCACTTACAGGGTTAACCTTTGCTGCTGCCACTCCAGCTTCCACTGCAGCAACTTCCACACAACCGCATACTGCCTTCGGCCTTGGAGGACAGCCTACAGGTAAGCTTTCAAACTGCTCACTCTCTCCTGGAGAACCCACCTATCCAAGGTTCCTTGTGAGAGTCTTAGATTTATTTTCACAGTAACTTAGCTTATTTGGGGGAGGTTTCTTCGTGGAGATTTCTGAAACTAATAAAACTGGTGATTAAATAAGTTGAGAGAGAATTCCAGGATGACTTGGTATACTAGTCTGTTTCATTAGTCCTTTTGACACCTGTGTGCTTATATTCCTATTCACCGTGGTATGTTCTTTGCTACTTTTTAAAATATAACTTCTGAAATGAAGTTTGAGGGAGGGAGACCAAAAAATGCCATACTGCAGTAGTAAGTACTGTAGAATTTTAGAACAATTAAAAGTAGTCATACTAACCTTTGATATCTGGCATGGTTGGGGAAT